CCCCACCAACACCCCCCCCCCCCCCCCCCCCGCCCAGGAAAGCCCACGCAGATCCGAACTATGGTGTTCAGGGTTCCCAGCGCGCGGTTGTAGTGGGCGGGGTCAGGGGTCTCGATTTCTGCCATGGAGCTGAACACATGACTCACAATCGCGTCCCTGGAAGCGCGCCAATCTCGAAAGGTATCTAGCGGGTCAATGGAGGGGTCTGCGTCCAGCGAGCGCGGGGCCGAGTCGGCCAGATTCACATCTCCAGCCACGATAACCAGCCTAGTAGTGGGCGAAGAGGCGGCATCAGCGACACGAGCCCGAAGAGCCTGAGCAACGAGGTGCCGTTCTCCCACAGAAAGCCCACGGATATTAACATTAAAATGTGATGTCCAGATGCCCTCGGGGAAACCGGAGAAGAGCTCCAAAACTCGTCCTGGAACCAAGACATTCTTTTGAACTAGGTGAGGCCGAATCGGAAGATGCTCGAAGTTGGGGTACAGGGTAACGACTCCTCCTGATCGGATGTTAGGGCAGAACGAAGAGGCGAAAGAGAAAGCGGAGTTGGAGAAGTAGGCGAAGTCCCGCAACTCAGTCATCGTGCCGTGGGTCTCTTGGGGCGAGATGATCGATCCAGTCTTCCACAGCGAGCGCGCAAGTGCGAGCTTCCTGGAGCGAATGGCGGCCTTGCAGTGGAACAGCGCCTGGGCGTTCCATGTGGCCAGCGAGAGAGGGGTCGGAGAGCCGTGCGAATCAGTCCACTGCGCCAGCAGCGGGCTAAACACTCCACGTCGCCTCACTTGCGGACTTGAAGCCAGCCATGACGCCACCAAGGATCTTGGTCTTGTCGATCCCCAGCGCGTTGAGGTTGGCGAGGCAGAACGAGAGCTTGGGCGGTGCTTCTCCAGCCTGTGGTTCCACATGTACCAGCGGCTTCCACTGGCACGAGATCTCACCCTTGTCTTTGTCACTGTAGAAGCGAAGGTGCCCGTAGTGGAGTTCGAGCTCACGCCGAACACGTTTGAGGCCGAGCTCTCTCTTGACCTGGGCCACGTTCTTGTCATCAGAAATGAATATCTCCTGAATGGAGTTGTCGGGGGCCTGGCACTGGAAGCGCTCCCATGTCTGGTCATGTCGACGAAGAGCGCCGAGGGCCTGCTGGACTTTCCGAAAGGCATAGGGGACAGAACCATTGATCCGCAGGATGTACCTGTTGGAAACAGGTTCGCCTTCCACTGAGAAGTCAGACTCGTTGAGCTGGGCACGGCCGAGCCAGTCGGAGAGCGCAGCGAGGACTCCAGCTTTGGCGCAGGACAGCTTGGTGCGGAGCAGAAGGATGGTCGGGTCGGTATTGCGATTGAAGCCAGGAGCGGCAGCAGGAGGAGCAGGGCGAGCAGCTCTGATGTCGCGGAGGGTCTCCGTGAGCGAGCGGATCTGGCCTTCGAGGACGTCGATGCGGGCTTCTTGGGCAGACTGGCGGCATTCCACACCGTTGAGCCGCGCCTCGATCCTGTTGTCAATGTCATTCCAGCTGCTTGTGAAGGTGTTAGTGAGCGTGGCCACCGAGTTCTGGACGTTGGCCAGGGCAGCGAGCATGCTCTTCTTGGTGGTGCCCACGTACTCCTTAAGGCTAGCAGCGTCTTCGGGGGCAACAGCGTGGGCGATGCGTTGCTGTTTCGCAGCATCTTCTGCAGCGGCGACAGCGGCAGCCTCCTGTGTGGGGAAGGTGCTCGCGAGTTCCCACTCCTGAGCGATGCCATCGAGCGAGGCGGCGGAGGCAGCAGCGCTCATTGCAGGGCCAGCAGGGCTGGCTGACGGGAGAACGAATGTGGAAGTGCTCTCGGCCTCCGACCGAGAAAATGGCGCCCTCCTGCGGGCAGACTTGGGCCCTAACCGAGTACACCCTCACGACCGAGAGAGGGTGGCTTCGGGCAATGGCCTTGAGCCAAAATGGCTACGGACTCCCCCTCCTCCTCCCTGCGTGATCATCATCTCATCCTTCCCCCCCCTTCCTACCTCCCCCATCCGCCCTACCCACCCCACTTCCTCTTCCCCCACCCCACTCCTCCTCCTCCTCCTCCTCCTCCTCCTCCTCCTCCTCCTCCTCCTCCTCCGCCTCCTACCCCCCCCGCTCGTTCTCACCTTCGCCGGCCTCAGGGTCGGCAGCACCGGCCGCAAGGCCTTCGAAACACCATCACTCAGTTCGGTGGAGTGTCCAGCGAGACACACGGCTCCCGACAGCGGGGCCCCAATCGTCGCATGCTTGTGCAAATGTTGCGGACGCCACGACAGTGGACACCCTAAGAGTCCCATCATCGAATCACAGACGTGTTTAACATGTCGGACACATGAACAGAACATGCCTACAGCATGCGCTTGAAGGTTTAAAAACAGCACGTGTTTTAGGCATCTGGGAACTACCTGGCAGCATGCTTCCTCGTGTTTGGTCGCCCTCCACACTGCCGAGCAGAACTCTCAGACGAGAGCCACACCTTACAGAGATGGGGAGCCCTCCGTCCGTGCAGAGCGGCTGCACGCGCTGCAGCTCCTGGACTTTCTCGAGCGGAGGCGCTGCTACGAGAGCCTCGTTCTGTCCTCCTCCTCCTCCTCCTCCTCCTCCGCCTCCGCCTCCTCCTCCGCCTCCGCCTCCTCCGCCTCCTCCGCCTCCTCCTCCTCCTCCTCCTCCTCCTCCTCCTCCTCGGCCCCCCTCCATCCCTGAAGCTGTCAACGTCGACCACTGGGTGCCAGGGAAAGGGCTCGAGGACCGTCAGAGGTCGGGCGAGGACAAACAACACCGAAATGAGCAGGGTCGGAGCTTTTGACCTCTGCGGGCCCCATCCTGAAGTTGTCAACGTCCATCCACTAACTGTGAAGACGACGTGCGCGGCGCTACGGCGAATGCCCCATTTGGACCCCCCCCCATCCATCATGGAAGCGGCTGCAGCTTTCAAAACGAAAGGACTTCGTCCTAGCCGATGATACAGAGAGACGCCCGAAGTTGACAACAACGCTGGCTATTTGTTCGTCTGAGCTGATTGGCTGTTCGCGTATCCTCACCTGAAGCACAACTGTGCGCGGCGCTAAGGAAAAAACCCATTGAACAACAATATCCCAATCTCCATCCTTGAATCGTTCGCAGAAGTTCGAGACGAATGCGCGCGACGCTTTAGTGGGAGCCCCATCCTCAGAACCAGAACCCCTCCTTCCCGGCAGCTGCTGCAAATCTCAAGCTCCCAAATCATGAGTGATGGAGAAGTCCCAGGCGAAGCAGCATGCCCACCTCTCGTCGGCAAACACGACAGGGAGGAGGGACTGAAGGAACCTCGCATGATCGACGCGCCGGGCGTGCGCTTGAACACGAGACCCAAGGTCACGAACCGTCGCGCCAAGCCGCGCCACAGGAACCCACCTCATCACCTCGAACACAGATCACAGTTGCCTCACCCCCCCAACAAGTGCCAGCCAGGCACGATGTCAACACACCGGGCAGGAACAAGAGATCCGTGCGACAAAGTGTGTGGACACCTGCGCGCGTGGGTGCGAAGCCTGATGTGCGCAGAAGACGCGCATCTATGGATCAATATTCTGTGGACCACTACCCATGTGAACAGCACATCTGTCGACGACCCTGTTGGTGGAACCGTGCGCGCAGAACACTGTGTGTGGAAATATGTGTACGCGTGGAGCCTTTCTGTGCGTGAGTCCCCGTGGGTGCGACCATGCTGGATTCCGAATGTGTGTGGCCCGAGGTACGAGCCTGGGGCCCCACAAGTGTTGAATCTCGGCTTGGAGCAAGCGGGGTGTTTCCCCTGTGAATGGAGTCCATGCGTAGTGGTTGCGCGGTGGGATAGCTGCTCGCGACAGCGGCCCGACCCGCGCAAGTCATATACCCCAAATGCAACCACTGCTTGTGAATATTACAGCTTCTTCGTGAACTCGCGCTACCGTGGTCCCCAATACTGGCTCGCAACATGGACTACTGTGTAACTCATTAGAAGCACTCGCTGGCTCCCATGCGCAGCCGTGCCACACGACAACCTCGCACTTGCCACAAGACGGGAAGCAAGCGACTCCAATAATGGAACGCCAGCACACGGTGACGGTGACTGCGTCGAGTGCGGACCGTTAGTTGCGAAGTAGTGGTTGCGCAGGTGCAGGAACCTGCTCGTCTCCAGAGGCCGGACGCCATCCCTCTCAGGACCACAAAGGAAGATGTCTGGTAGGCGCGAAAGCCGGGGCGCAGGAGCAGGAGGGTCGAGTATGAAGTCAAGTAAACGAAGCCTCCAAGGAAACGAGATCAAGCGCTGACCGCATCGTGCACGGAGTGACCGTCAGCTCCAAAAAGTTTGACCGTCAGAGCCCAAAAGATGGAGTCATCCACCGACAGCGCCTGGACGCCATCCCTCTGGGCGGAGGCGGTTGAGAGCGTTTCCTGTTCCACCAACCCCCTTCTCACCCTTCCGAGAAGGGTTTACACCCCTTCCCCTACCTGCTTCCTCTGGGTCTTGGCAGGGGGTGCGGCAAGGTGTGAGAGGGCAACGTTTAGCCCAAGATACCTCCAAGAGGTCCCCTCAAGAGGGTATCAAGAGACACCCAGGATGACCCAAGAGGGACTCCAACATTTTCCCCAAGAGGCCCCGATACCGCCCCAAGACGCCTCCAAGTAGCCACGAAGCCTCCCAAGGACGCCCCCGAGCTCCTACGCTTGGCTGACCGAAGCAATTTGCTTGGATATCGTTCCTGGATGGTCTGATGAGGGTACGCGAAGCGTCAAGAATTAAAAAATCCGCGTTGGAACTGGCGCGGCTTTCATACGCGCTGGAGCTTCAACTCGGCGCAATTTCGTCTGCACTCTCAGCGCCAACCAATGGTAAGGAGGACGTCCGGTGCCGCGAATTCACGAGGGCACAAAACCAAAAAAGCAGAAAGAAGGCGAGTCAATTCGCTGACACGCCGAAATCGGCAGGCCGCAACTGTATCGCTAGGATACTGGGCGTCGCACCAAGCCGCGCAACATGCACCGCAATCCTGCTGGTCGAAGTGCTTGCGTGCATCAAACTAGCCAGATCTCTGCGCTTATTTGCGCAGAGCTCGACCAGCACTGCGCCGCGACGCAAGCTGCACGCATGAGAGCAAGGCGGGCGGATGAAGTGCTTCTTCCCTCGACGGAGCGGAGAGCGAGTGAGGGGGATGACGAGGAGGAGGGGGATGCGGAGGAGGAGGGGGAGGCGAAGGGAATCGGGTGGGGTGGAGGCGAGGTTGAGAAGGGCAACGGGAACCGTCTGCTTAGCGCAGATATACCTGCAAAATCATAAAATCGGGTCTGCGAGGACACTCGAAAAAAACACGAGTCGGAATGGGCGTTGCGATTGTGAACGCTGGAGCCTCGGCTCGGCGCAATTCAGTATGCGCTCGCAGCGTGCCAGGCCAAGCGGCCCTCGTAAACAACTTTTCGAACGGCGCCGAGGCCAGAAGGAGAGCTGTCATTGCGGCGAGGCCAAGCGATCACGTAGGAATGCAGAGCGTCGAGCCAAGCCGCGCCACGCACCGCGATCCTGCGAATCGACTCCGGATGCCTCCCACTCGCCGAGTCCATGCTCCGTTGCACATGGCGCTGGCAAACGAGGCGTGCTGGAACATGAGACGCAAGGTATCGTCACCGGCCGTTGCGCGAAGCAGCGCCACGTACCGCAGCCCTGCGAGTCGAGGTGATTCCGTGAGGCCCTCCTGACAAGCCCGCCGACAAACAGAATACGCCACCGCGCTTGACGCGGCTGGTGCGTGTCGGCCCCCTCGCTTTGGTTTTAAGCACGGCCTCGCCTCTTGCGCAGCACCCACCCGCTGGGCCACCCGGCTCATCGGGCCCAGCACGCGCTCACCTTGCTCTGCCAGATCCATCCACGTGCCGCTTTCCGCTCAGGCAGTGGAGCGGTGGTGACGCACAAACCAAGGGCTTGGGGAACGGAGCTCCAAAGCATCTCTCCGGAGGCACCTCCGCCCCCCCCCCACCCCTCCCCCTGCACGATGCGAGCATCCGACAAGCGTGACGGCACATTCGCGCGGAATCGCGACATGAAGAGCAGAAGTAGCTTTGCAGTGAACTCACGCCACCTCGGCCCGCGACGTGCGCGGGAAGGCGAGACTTTTAGCATTTCTTTCGGGAATCCACCGCCTGCTGCTCAAGCGACAGAATGATACCCTCGTTGGGTGAGTCCTGGACGCTCATGTCTGCAGCTCTCCTGTGCGCTATGTGTCGCTCGGTGTCCGCTGCGTGAACCCACTGAACGTGGCCATGAATTCAAAATTAGCGATTTCGCCGTTGAACTCCATAGTTCTCCGGCGCAGGCGGCCAACCTGTTCTCAGCATTGCCGCACTAGAAATTGGAAGGACTCGCTCATGCCACGATACATGAATCTGCCGACTCGCTCAAGACGGAGCCGGCACAAACGGTGACTGCGTCGAGGCCTCCGCAAACTCTGCGCGAAACGCTATACTCGACGGCGCCCTTCAGAGCAAGAGGAGGGTTGGACATAGACTTAGAGCAACAAGGTCGAACCAGGATGGGGAGGATCATTACAGTAGGGGCCCGACCACAAGAAACCTTCCACAAGAAACCCAAGCCTGAGACCCCAGAGCGTCCCTTGATTTTTGGTGCGGGAGCAGCACGCCTTCCACAGCGAAACCGTCGAAAGCCAAGAAACCCAGGGCACCCTGGAGGCAAGCAGGGTGTTTCTTGGAATGGGACCCCCACTGTAGACTTCGAGAAACGAGCTCGAACCAGGACGAGGAGGACCATTGAGGCGGCCTTGGAGAGCATGGGCGCCCCCCTCGCAACGGCGGGAGATACCCCCCCCCGGGGGCAGAGCGCACGACGGCGGGGCTCGCAGCCCGGGGGGCTCCTGCCGCCACGACGCCCGCAGCCCTACACGGACCAGGAGTCCTCCTCCGGCAGCGGCGGCGCGCCCTTCGTGGCTGGCCGCGGCTGCGGGTGCACCTCTGGGGGCGAGTGCAGGCCGACCAGCCGCAGCGGCAGGGGGGGATTGGGCGGCGCGTGAAGGCTGCACGGGCAGGTCGTCGCCGAGGGGCCCCCGCCGCCCGGCCGGCCGGCGGCCGCGCCCTGCTGCGCTGCGCTGTCTCCCGCGCCTGGCCTGCCCAGGTGGGTCACCCCGCGGCCGTGCAGGTGGCAGTCGGGGCACTTGGAGCCGAACTTGCAGGTGCCCCTCTTGAACACGAAGTTGCAGTACCGGGGGGCGCCGGCGTCGGCCCGCAGGCACCGCCCCTCGGGCCGGCAGTCCTCGCAGCGGTCGAGGGTCTCGAAGAGGTGCGCGTCGAGCATGCGCTCCAGTGACCTCGGCACGAGCCAGCTCTTGGCCTCCATGTCCTGGAACCACGCGGGCCTGCACGTCGGCGTGACGCACCGCCAGTGGCCGCACCTGTGCAGCATCTCCTGCTGGCCGCACCGCTCGCAGGCGCCGCCGCTGTCGCTCGGGGCCGGCGTGGCCACAGAGCCGCTCGCGCCCGCCGTCGGCGGCTGTGCCAAGCCCGGCGGCGGCGCCAGCAGCGCCAACGGCAGCTGGGCCCGCGGGTGCGTTGCCGCCGCGGGGGCCCCCGCGGGTGCGCCGTGGTGCCCAGCCAGCCCGGAGGGCCGCCGCAAGGCGTCGAAGGTCTCGCCCTCGTGGAGGGCACCGGCCGCGCCCGCGCTGCACGGCCGGTCTCGTGCGACGGGCTGCCCTGCCGGGCGTGCCATGGCCGCCCAGGGCAAGGATAGCGAGGGGAGGCGGGGAGGGGAAGGACCCAAATCTCCGACGAGAAGCTTTTTCCTCGCGGACCCAGTTGTTATCGTCAATCGCCTGGCGCTGTTCCTCGCGATCCCGGCCTCCGGGGCCATCAGGAGATGAGCCTGGGGCGAGGGGGATGAAGAATGACATGAACATCAGAACTCGGAGGTCCGCGCGGATTTCTAGGATCCGCGCTGGACCCCCCTGGCGGCGCCTCTGGCGCCGCCCCTGGCGCGCTCCGCGCACCATTCTTCGTTCCCCTAGAAATGCTGTCCCTGGGGAAGGGGTCGGGGCTTCTGTGAGGCCGGGCAGTGGGAAAACCTGTCGTCGGGTGTCTGGGGGAAGGAGAAGGGATAGGCTCTAAAGCATGACGCTACGACAGCTGCGAATAAAAGGCAGCTCGAGCCAAAAGCACTGATCACCAGGAGGAGGAGCAGATAGATCATGACATGACGGCGACGAATGGCAACCAGCATGGCCATTGACCATTGGCACTCGGGGACAGGGCCAATGGATTGAGGGTGACAGCCGCTGCGAGCAAGCAACGACATGGCTGGAGATAGTTTGGGGCAACAGTGACCGAATGGAGTCGGCGTCCGCGGAAGGCAAGCACCCGAACTGCAAATAGTCGCGGACCAGCCCAAAGGAATCCCTGGTGCCCAGAGGCAACGGGACAAACGAGGACAAATGGAGGCCCCGAGAATTCAGCCTACCGTGGAATCCCACCGACCCTTTGCGGCGTGAGTGGTTCGGAATCAAAACCTACAACAGCCCGGCGACAATCAATGGTTTTGGCCCCCTCGGGCTCTCCTGGAAGGCCTCTTGGAGACCTCTTGGGCCGTCTCTGGAGCCTCTTGATCTGTCTGGAGGCCTTCTTGGGAACCTCCAAGCCTCCAGGACGGCGTTCGAGGCAATCAAGATGACACCAAAAGATGGCCCAATATGGCCCAATACGGCTCAAGAGGCTCACAAGACAGCCTCGATGCAGATCAAGAAGCCCCCTAGACGGCCCACGACGGCTCCAAGAGACCCTCCTGGAGGGCCCGAGGAGGCCAACACCATGAATTGTCCGTAGGTGTTTGTACGATGTTCAGGTTCTCGCCTGTCCGACCACCCAAGACGGCCCAAGGGGCCTCCAAGAGTAGAGGCCTCCAAGATGGCTTCAAGACAGCCCAAGAGACCCCGCAGAGGGCTTCAAGTCGGCCCAAACGGTCCAAAGATCACCAAAGGGGCTCGCAAGAAGACCCCAAGACGGCCGTGAACGGCTTCAAGCGGGTACCAATACGACCTGAGAGGCGCCCAAGTCGGCATCCATAGGCGTCAGACGGGCCAAGAATCCACTAAGACGTCCCAAGGAGTCCCAAGAGGCCCCAAAGAGGCCCCTTGAGGCCCCTTGAGGCCCCCACGAGGCCCCAAAGAAGCTTTCAGGAAGCTCCCAGGAGGCCCCCAGGAGGCCCCAAGAAGGCCCCAAGGAGCCTTCTCCTCCTCATCCTCATGTTCTCCATCTCCTACTCCTCCTCATCCTCCTTCTCCCTACTGCGCGGACGAAGACGAGGTCGGGATTACGACCCGCCCCAATGCAGACTACTCGTCGGAATTGCGCTGTTACTGCACTCAGCCTCCTTCCTGCTACACTGTTGCACAAGCACAGCGACGGGGTTTGCCGCAGGCAGCTTGACAAACTTCCCGGCGGCGCTGCATGCGGCAATCTGCGACCCCAGGGAGGACAGGGCGCGGGAAAAAAAGACAGCGAACTGCCCCTCCAACCACGCTCCTCCAGGCTGTCGTTCCGCTGGAGGCCTCCCAAGTGGGGCTCGAGTGGATGGGGTAGACGGATCTCGTGGCATCGCCGATGCATCGGCAACGTCGGCGCCGCATCGCCGCCGTTCCCGTCGAGAACAGCGAGCTCCACATCGAGACGCACCGCCGATGCATCGGCGACGCGACGCGATCCCCCGACCTCATCTGCTCGGACCCCACCGCGCGGCCTTCGGCCACGACGCGCGGAAGCGCGGCCGCACTTTCTCGCGCTGGCCTTACGTCGGGCGTGTCCCTCCACAGGGGGAATATTCCAAAGTAGTCAAAAAATAGCCTAGGGACAATGTTTCAAGTATTCTTTACCAGTTTGGAATATTTTGAAGATATGTTTGCTTTTTCGCCCAACATCGCCCTGTAGGGGGACACGCCCAACCTAACGCCAGCTCCCCCCCCCCCGGGCGTGGCCGTGGGCCCCTCCTGACTCGCTCCCATGTCAGCTCGTTGTCTCGTCGTGGCCTCCGCGAGCGGCGAACAGACTTGTATCCACACGTCTCACGGTGTGGATGGTTACTCGGGCCGGGTGAAAGGGGGGGAATAGCAAAGGGGGGGTTGAGAATCAGCTCACGCAACTGAGTTTCCCGGCGCCTCCCGGCGCCCGAGGCGCCCATGCATCGAGGAATGGGCCCCTCGGTGGGGCCGAAACCAGCTGTATGCAGCAAATGTCGTAACCCCCCCTTTCCCAATCCCCCCCCTTTCGTCCGGCCCGAGTTACGGGGAGCGATCCCGTGCATACGATGTCGCATGGATGAGTCCCGCGTGGGGCATCCTCGCAGAAACGCCCCGTATCGGGAGCGGCCAAGAGGGGGGTGTCCAAGAGGGGGGGTGCAAATCATGACCGGCGGCATGTGCGCGGCCCAGCGGGAGGGCCAGGGACGTAATGAAACGAGAACAGGCGCCATGAAGGGGAAATATCATTGCCCACGCCATGATATCCACACACCCCTAATCATCACCCCCCTCTTTTGCCGCCCCCGACCGCATCTGGCCCGGGCCGCGAGGCCCTGTGCCCGTGGATGGACACGTTTCCCGCCCGCGAGGCCTCCTCCTTCCCTGCCCTCGCCTGCCTTCCTCTCTCGTGGCCATCTGTTCCCTCTCGCCGGCGTCTCTGATGTTAAGTCGGGCCTGTCCCCCTACAGGGGGATTTTGGGCGAAGAAAATAAAAATGCTTGAAACATACTCCCCAAATGCTCAAAAATAGGCGACAAAATAGTCCTCAGAATATTTGTTGGACTATTCTTGAATATCCCTCCTGTAGAGGGACACGCCCGACTTAACTCTGATGTCGGCCCCTCGCCGGTGCCAAACTGCCGAACATGAGCCTGCACAACGGCGCCTGCTGCTGCTGCTGCTGCCCTCTCCACACGGCATGGACTGTCCTCGTGAGCTGGGCAAAACCCGACCAGATAAAACTTGCAAACGTTGTCGTCTTTGAAGTTGTTCCCTTTCCTAGCCGCAGAAGCGTGAATGCAAACAACACGACAGACTGGTGGGACACTGCATCCAAGACATGATGATAATACGCTAGACTGCTCAATACTTCCGGGCGCTTGAGCGCACGCTTGCCGAAACAATTAGCAAACCAACTCGTCAAATATGTCAGACATGGTGAAAGCTTTGCCGCCAACCCACAACTATTGACAACTCACAGTTCGTAAATGGCGTAGAAGAAACAAAAAACCTGAAATGATGAGTCGTCACAATCAGTTACTCTATATAGCATTGGCATGCGAAGCAGTGTAACTTAGAATGCGCATTGCAACAACCCTAATCACCAAATTGCGGTGGCCGATTCACAAAACGGGAAGAGCACACAAACGTCGAAGAACTGTTCAGGAACATGCAGAAGCTGACATGCCACACGTAGAGGAGATCAGGCGAGCTTGGACGATGTGCAATCTACGGCTCTCGAGTGCACTGCAGTCAACCCGTATAGTAAGGACGAGCGATAAGGATGCAAGGGCCTTGGACGCCCAGTTCGAAGCTTTTCGAGCGGGGCGCAGCCAACGAAACTGGCCGAGGATGGGCCAAGAAGGCAAGGGTGCAAGGGTACCCTTAGGAATGCTGCCCATCCTGACTATGCGGTATGACTGTACGCCTCTCGATTGCACTCGATTGCACTGTACATTACTTACCACGTGAACCAACACATAACGCTCCAGGAGATCCCCTGTGCCGAACGACCAGAGGGCGCGGCGCGTGGATCACCAATGAAGGGGCCATGGGACACACACATAACTAAACACTAATGACAGGATTCCCAATATGTTCATATATTTCCCAACCATCCTGTGGTGTTGGGTCCTCGTTTTGAAGAGACGGTGCCCCGCGTCTCCTTCCTTCCTCCCGCTGCCCCCTCCCTCCTCCTCCTCCTCGTCTCGTCATCGTCATCATGCATCGCCATCATCTCATCATCATCGACCATCATCATCATCATCATCTCATCATCATTCATCATCAGCCATCACCATCACCAGCACCATCACCATCACATCACCATCATCACATCATCACCATCATCACCATCATCACCATCATCATCATCATCATCACCATCATCATCATCATCACCATCACCAGCCACCATCTACGCTATCATCATCATCATCTCATCATCATCATCATCATCATCAGCATCATCATACATCATCATGATCTGAGCATAGATCATGATATTGATCATGATCATATCATGATCATGATCATGATCATGATCATGATCATCGCAGCGCCATCGTAGCGCCGCGCCGCGCCACTCACACTTTTCGTGGCCCCATAGGGAGCTGCCACACTCATTTCGGCGAGTGCTGCGCCCGCAATGCGGTTCCACCCACATGCTGGCATCACCCCTCACACGCTTCGTGGCGGCCCATAGGAGCTCACCGAAGGCCCAGTGGCTGCGCCCGCATGCGTTCCACCCCCCTTTGGCACACCCCTCACACAGTTTCGTGGCCCATAGGGAGCCCCACCGAGGCCCCATGGCTTGAGCCCGCTGCGGCTCCACCCCCCATTCTGGCACACCCCCTCACACGTTTCGTGGCCCCATATGGAGCTCCACCGAAGGCCCCAGTGGCTGCGCCCGCATGCGGTTCCACCCACCATTCTGGCACACCCCTCACACGTTTCGTGGCCCCATAGGGAGCTCCACCGAAGGCCCCAGTGGCTGCGCCCGCGTGCGGTTCCACCCCCCATTCTGGCACACCCCTC